GCGCCCCGGATAACGCAGACAAGTTCACGTCTTGCAGGATGTTTCACTGATACCCATTTGCAGCTCTTTAGCTTCCGTGTTGTGCCACCTGTAGACAAATCCCAGGTCGGGGAGTCAAAGGGTATCAAAGCCTCAAGATGCCGGCTGGGCAGCGGAGGTCCAACGTTCGGCGGAGCAACGTAACGGCCTGTCATCGGTTCAAGTCTCGCAAGCAGCGGTGCGACCAGAACATCCCGGCGTGCTCCAACTGCGAGCGCGCCGGCGTGGAGTGTGTGGGCACCGACATTGACGGCCGAGTGGCGCCCAGAAGGTCGACCCTTTTTCCCTTCCGGCGCACACCTCCGGAAACACCATTCCGTTGCCATGTAGCTAACTAGACCGGCACATCAGCTACATCAAGAGCTTGGATGATCGCATCGCCCAGCTGGAAACGCAGTTGATGTCACACGGTCTCCGGGACCAGAGCCATGATACGCCAACCTCTGTAGACTTCTCAGCGGTCGTCACTCATGGCATGTCCAACTCGCCTTCTTCGCAAGGCCACAAGAGCCAGGCGGACGAGGACCTCGTCGGTCAGATTGTCCTTGACTCACTCCGGGCAGACTACTTCTCCAGTGCAATAGCAAACCACAATGGCCTCTCGCTGCTCAACTCTTTGCTATCGGGCCCCATCACCAAGGTCTCGCGGCCCGGGCTCAGGTCAGACCACCGCACCCTCTTCGAGGATCTGCCGTACTAGACGCGGATAGACATGCCGCGGGGCGAGGCCGCCAGCCGGCTTATAGACACATACTTTGAGCACTGCGACTTCTTCTCCCCCATCCTCCCGTCAAAGGAGCACCTGGCCGCAATGATGGAGCCCCTGTACGACGCTCCCGCGAACCTACCGCCCAGTAGCAGCCACTTGCTGTCGAAGGCGAAGTTCAGGGCGTCCATGATCTTCGTCACGGCGATCCTCCTCATCAACAGGACGGACCCGTCGGTGCCCGTGGAGAGGTCCCACGTGTACTTCGCCGCCGCGATGCACATGCTCTCCCAGGACCCGGCCGCCGTCTGCACCGGCGACCTCGACCACCTCGTCGACCTGCTCCTCATCGTGCAGTACTGCTGCTTCAGCCCGAACCTCACCGCCGCGTGGCACTTCCTCGGCCTCGCGACCCGCCTCGCCGTCGAGCTGGGCCTCCACAACGAAAGGCAGCAACGACAACAAGGCGCTGCCGCCGCCGCCGCCGTCGCTCTGGATCCGGCCCTGGTCGAGGAGCGGCGCTGGGTCTTCTGGGTGACGTACACCTTCGAGCGCAACCTCTGCGTCATATTAGGTCGGCCATTCTCGATCCCGGACGAGGCCATCGAGACCCCGCTGCCCCCGGAGCCCATCGGCAACCCGCAGCGCGCGCAGGCGCTGCACCTGATCAAGGCGCGGCGCTTCGAGTCCGAGATCTACGCGACGCTGCGGCAGCGGCAGCCCGCCGGCGCGCCGCTGGACAAGACCGCCTGGCGCTCGAGCATCACTGCCCGGCTGCGCGACTGGTTTGCGTCCATACCGCCTCCGCCGCTGGACTGCGCGAGCGGCAGCAGCCAGCTGATGCCGCAGCAGATATTTGGCGGCTTCTTCCACAACGCGTTCGTGAACGTGTACTACCCGTCGCAGCACTTCCCGGACCTGAGCGCGGCGGACGTTTGGGCGCTTGCACGGCATGCCGCGGAGAGCGTGGCGTGCTATAAGAACTCGTTCCGGTCGCGCGAGCTGCGGTTTTACTGGCGGTGTATACATAGCCTGTTCAAGGCGGGCGTGGCGCTGGTGTACTGCATCCGCGTGGCGGCGACTCTCCCGCAGCAGCAGCAGGGGGAGGGGGAGGAGATGAATGTGCCGAATTTGGTGGATACGGTTAATGACTGCTCGTCCATCATCTGGGCCATGGTCGAGCGGTATCCGCAGGGCCAGGCGTACCGGGACGTATTTGAGAGTCTGGTCAACTCAGTTTTGGGTAAGGACGGCGGTGACCAGGTGCAGCAGCAGCAGCAGCCGTCTTTGGTTCAGCATCAGCAGGCGAGTGCCGGTGATGAGCAGGAGCATTCGATCTTTGACTCGTTGTTTGCGGCGGCGTCGGAGGATACGGATCTGCCGTTTACCGCGATCGAGGCGCTGTCTTGGGGGTTTGCGCAGCCGTCTCCTGCTGGGTGAGGTTGAGTGGCTTTTGCCGGCTTCTTATTCCCTGATATTCGCATCTCATCCCGTATCTTTCCAGCCACGACGTAATCGCAAGACAGCAACGGGGCTGTGAGAGGTCGATTCTACTTAGGGGCTTGGACGTTGGTGCCTTTCACGTTGAGAAATCAGATGCCCTGGGTTTAGGGTTGAGGACAGCCCAAGCATGTTACAGCAGGGAAGATGAAGACGATACGGAGAAGTGAAGCAAAGTGTGTGAAAGCCTGGAGTTTTCGACCATGTATGAGATGAGAAAGAGCTGAAGAGAAGGGGGTCAGGCTTCACATAAGTCGTCTTACACGAGACGTCACCCAGGAGACAGGCCAGTGTTCAACTGCAGGGTCATCGTCGGTTTTTTGGATGATGAGGGCACACTGCTAGCATGTCTCAAACACCTCATCCTCAACATCGTCCCTCTTTACATTTACCCCCTTCGGCAAAAGCCTCTTCCAGTACACCTCATCTTCCTCCACTTCATCCTCAACCTCACAGGGCTTCGGCAACGCCCAACCCTTCAAATCCGCCTCTCTAACAACCACCCCGCACACATCCCTCCTCCTCCCGCGCCTCCCCTCCGCCAACAACTCGCCAGCCAACCTCAACGCATCCGCCTCTTCGACCACGCCCGTCTCCGCAGAAATCCAATCACCCGCCTGCGCCCCCGAGATCTCGTTCCGGCCCCAGTCCGCACTCTCGAGCAGCCTCCGCACCAGGCACACGCCGCCGACGCGCCTGCAGCGGCCGCACGGCCCGGATGGCTTGATCTTCTGCTCGGCGGTGAAGAACTCGCACCGGGCGCCGGCAAGGGCGCACTGCAGGCACTTGCCCGGCGTGCATTCGCGGTAGACGACAGGCGGTGGGGGTGGGCGGGAGCAGGGGGAGCAGGGGGAGAGCAGGGGGAGACCGTTGCGGTATTGGAGTTTTGGGCGGATGGGCGGTGGTCGTCGTGGCTTGGATGTGTGCTGGGCTTCGTCGCTGTTTTCAGGTTGAGAGGGTTTCATGACGTTGGTTAGTATATGGGACAAACTTGGTTTGTGTTAGAGTCGCACGTGTTGAATCAGCCGGAAGGGTCCCTCAAAACTCTTAAAAGGTTGCGAGGAAGATAGGATGTTGACTCTGCTGACGGATTTGCTATCAGGCCCCAGCAGCTATGTTCAAACACAGGTTGTAAGTCAGATCCTATGTGTTTTGATGACCGACGAATCATTCTATTTTCGTTCAAGCAAACAAAGAGAGAACCTTAATAATGAACCCCCAGACCAATGGGTACTTATCCTACATGAGCCTCCATTGTTCAAAGCTGGTCGTTGACATGATCGGCTTTGACATGCTCAATATTCTCATTTGGTATTCCGGCCCCTAGATCGAAACTAAGAACCCAAGTTTACAAAGAAGCCGAGAACACGAGTGCCAAACAACACCGAAGAAGAGGATGTGATGGCTTCAACTTGAGGAGGGCTTGAATTCCCTCTAGGTTAAGCCAAAACACTCTCTGAATCGTACTGTTCGGAACCCGTCATTTTTAGCCCCAAGAACATCACACAATATTTCATGTTGATCTAGAATGCATGCCTTTACTAGGAGATGCAGCTATTGCGCTATCATCGCGATGCCAGCCTGAGTGTGAGGATACCATGACGTACAAGCAAGCACCAAGTACTGTCGTCATTTTCTTACCAAAATCCTCCCAGGCATCGAATTGCGACAGCAGTACGCGGGTCTATTTACAGCAACAATGATGATCAACTTGGCCAGATCCAAATGAAGCTGAATGCTTTACAGAGTAGCTCAGCAGCTCAGCTAATGAAGTGTTGTATTGGGGGCGAAGACATAAAGCAGCCCCAACTAGGCCCCTTGCTTCAAGACCAGGATCAATTCGGTAATCTTCCCCAACTTTCTCAAGGTCATGATGTGTAGGCTTTTTGATTTACCGTGGAGAATTGGCTTGAAAGTTGCTGCCTGCGTGCACAGGGAGTCGCAGTAAGACAACCGCAGATCGCTTGTTGGGGTCTCAAAGCTTGTTCTGTTGCTGCCTTGCAGATCATTGGCTTGGTTGAGCGAGCATGTTACATCGAAACTCGGGAACGATGCAGGTAAGAATATTCCGATTGAAGATGAATGCACGTTTAGAAAAAATAGTTGGAAGAACTCAATATGGTCACACAATTAGTGTTATGTGGTACTGCTGCTGTGGTGGTTTGTTGCAATACAGGTTGGATGATATGTCCCCGGCGTCACTTGCGAAAACATCGAGCATAAGCACTAGTTTCTACCGTGAACTATGAGATATGACTTGAGATCGACCAAAGATGATATTCGTGAGTTTGTCACCGGTCTCGGAATCTCACGATCCTTGGCAGTAAGACAAGGCCCTCCAGACATGGCCCCGAAGCTTATACCTTGAGTATGCCAAGACGTGAGTAAAAGCCGCCATGAATTAGTTGCAACATCACCTCAGCCTTCTTTCAATAAGCGGGCCGGTAGATCATTAAATCCTTCAGGATGCAATTGTGACCGCGATTTGGCAAGATCAACCATGAGGCAGTGCACTGTGCCTCGCGATGATCGACGATGGGCGAGATGATCCATTTTTCACAATAACACCCTGAGCTGAAATGTATGCGACCATAAATCATCAGCAACACTGTATTTTCACGACCTTGAAGATATTATAAAAGTGTCGACCTCTTCTCCTTTTTTCCCGTCTCTTCAATTCCACAGATCATCAAACATTTCAGAACCCAAAGTCCAAGAATCTTCTTCCACTCCATCTCATTACTGCTTTTACATCATGAAGTCCTTCAACCTCCTCACTACTCTCTTGGCCGGTGTCTCCGCAGTCTCCGCGGCAGCCCTGCCGAGCGCCATAGACGCCCGCGAAGTCGCCGATGGTTTCTATCAGGTTTCCACCGACGATTCCGGCAACACAAAGACCACTGTCAAGCCCTGGGATGAGGTTGTCACGACCTCGGTCAGAGAGCGGTCGCCTCTTGAAAAGCGCTGAGAGGACTGCGGCCCCGGATCCGTCAGCACTGGCGAAGCGGACGACGCGAACACCTGCCTGATCAACGGCTTCAGCGGGGATAACGTGTACCTGGAGAAGAATGCCTGGTCATACGTAAGTTTCCCATTACTACTGCCTCCAATGGTTTCTCCTTGAGAGCTCTCTCAGGGGTTTCGTGGTATGAAATGGCAACAGACTAACTGAGATACAGTGTGTTCGCGGCAACGTCGTCTCCTTCATCTGCCCTTACAGCCAAGGATACAAGGGTAAGGCGGACATCAAAGGGACTTGGTCTTATTTCAAGGGACACTGCGGGCTGAGCAAGATGGGCTACGCGCAGGTCTCCAACGGCATCGGCGACTGGACGGCTGGGTATGCTACCAAGGATGATCATTTCTGTACTGCGGACTTCAAGGTTGGATCTTAAACATGTCTTCCCCCTTTTCCTCGTTGCATATAGAAAGATGTGTTTCTTCTTCGTCTGGTTAAAGATACCACTAGCAGGGTGAAGCATTAGTCACATTGCATGTAATCAAAATACTCTTCACAATCCACCATGATATTCATTTTTGAGAGCGTCGTTCTATATATGCCCGTTTCCAAGTGTATTCTGCGCCGTTTCCTGTCCCAAAACGCCGAGTCGTCGCCTTCACTCATCTTCATCTTCATAATCAGCATCGTCATCATCATCATTACCCTCCTCCACCTCCGTTTCCTCATCCTTAGCTCGCTGCTGCAACTGCTTTGCCCACTTCTTCCCGCCCAAGTTCTCTTTTTTGGCCATCCGGATTACTTTGGCTTGAACTGACTTATCGCTCCTACCCAATCTAGCTCCTATCTCCTCATAATCCTTTCCGGCAGCAAGCATCTCTTTGACGGTAGCAACTTCGCCTCTGCCCCACATCTTCTGCGGCCTAGCCCCCGGCAGGAAACTCATAGGACCGAGCACCTGGTCTGGTGCTGCAGCGCCCTGGGGGTTGTTGTTGATGAACTGCCGAATCGCATTCAGACGGTTGTCCTGGATCAAAACTTGTTCCGCGGTCCACAAGCAGCCGTTGGTGCCGCAGCCGCAGTGGTAGCCCGCCCACAGCGAGGGGGCGAGGACGGGCACCCGGGCGTCGGCGCGGTGCGCGATGAAGCGCTGCAGGCCGCCCATAATGGCGTTGGACAGGTTGTGCGTGGTGACGGAGATGATGTTGTCGCAGCCGGGGCAGCGGGCGATGGGGCCGTATTCGGGGTCGTTGCCTGTTGTGAAGCGCGTGGTCGGGTTGTAGGCGCAGCCGGGCGTTGCGCAGGTGTGGCCGATGGCTACGGCTCGGTCGTGGGGAAGGGGGAGGGACTCACGGAAGATGAGGCCCGCGTGGTTGGCTTCGTAGTTGGCGGACCTGGTGTCTTGGGTCAGGGAAAACTGGCATGCTTCGCCGGCGTCGGCGGATTGGTTTGAGATTGGCTGGCGGCAGGAGGCGCAGAAGTACTTGATGTTGAGGCACATGATTAGTTGTACGGTATGTTTTGTCTTGTTAATGATGGGTTTCTGGTTGGTTTGGGTCATTGGTCAAATTGTCGCAATCACGGACTCATGGCTATCTATATTACATGAATCTCGCGGCAGCTTGCGTTGACAATGGAGACAATTCTGTTGACACTCAATACTCAACAATAATGAACTATGAACATTATTAGCGGTTGTCCTGATCAACGCTGTTGTGTTCTTTATGTTAAACCATTAATTCAGGAGGGTTCGACGGACTCGACAAAGACTCTATGGGTACTCCGCAAAACATCAGAAAGAATTCGGGTCATTGTCTGTGTGCCCCGGTTTTATACCTATGAAAGCAGCCTGTACAAAGATGGTTATAGATCAAAGCGCTTCTCGCCTACAACGCCATTGTTCTCATCTGAGCTGGTCTGGGTCTTGCGGTTGGCCCTCCAGTATGTGTACATCAACGCCAAAGTGTTGGGGATCGAAGCTCCGTACAGCAAAAGAATCGCGAGAAAAGCCTTGGGATACCTCGGAGCGTCGGACTCTTGGAAAAGCTGCTGCCCGGCGAGGCCTCCGAGATTGCTCCCCATCACCGCCATCGCCAGTCCAACGCTGCGATTGCTGGGCTTGGTCGAGTTGATGTTCAACCAAGCATCGTTGATCGCCTGCGAAAGTGCATTGCCCCCAGTGAGCAGCGTGAAGAGCGCATACTGCACCCACCTGTTCGTCCCGACAGGCAGCCCGCACAGCGCGCCGGAGAAGGCAATGGACCAGACGAAAGCCACGATGCACCAAGGCCCGCGCAGCCGTGTCTTGTCTGACGCGACAGACAGCGTGTACGACAGGATGATGACGAGCACGTTGCCGACGGCGTTGAGCAGGTTGGCGTTGGTCTTGGAGAAGCCGAGGCTCTTGATGATCGTGGGACCGTAGATGGCGAGGCCGCCCTTGGGGGTGAGACTGAGGATGTTGAGAAACGTGTGCAGCCAGAGACGCAGGTCGACGAAGGCTTCGCGGAGGCTCTTCAGGGTGATTTCGGCCTTGTCCGCGCCCTTGGACTCGTCGCCGAGAATGATGCGGGTGCTAAGGATGGTGCGCTCGCGGTTGGTGAAGAGGTCGAAGCGGCCATGGATCGGGCGCGTGTGCTTTGGGCTGCGGGGGAGGAGGAGGACGTAGCTGAAGAAGATGAGGAGGGTAAATGTGCCCTCGACTGTCGCCGTTGTCAGATCTGGATGTGAATGAGAATGGCTTCAAGGGGTTCGACTTACTGACAAAGAGCCACTGCCATCCGGCGAGCCCTCCCTTGCCGCCCATTTGCAAAATTCCTGCGGCGATCAAGGAACCAGTCGCGGCGGCTGAATAGTTACCGAAGTAGAATATTGATGTTCTCAGTGCCAGCTCGTCTCTCTTGTAGAACAGCGCCAGCATGTACTGAACTCCGGGGATGAATCCTCCCTAAAACAGCCCCAAGAGCATTCTCGTTGCGTAGAAGGATTGGACGTTGGTGCACCAAGCTTGCATTAGAGCGATCGTGCCCCAGATCGCGACCTGCAGTGTGAGCCAGACCGGGGCGCCGACTCTCTGCAGAATCAGGTTGGAGGGGATTTCCGCAATCACAATACCGGCCAGCATCAGCTGGTTGCCAATGTTGACTTGGCTGTTGGTGATGCCGAGGTCTTGCGTCAGGGTGTCGGTGAGGGCGTTGCTGATGTTGGTTCGGTCGAGCTGGAGGACGTAGAAGCCGACGACGAGGAGAGGCACGAGATACCAGTCCAGTCTTTGGTTGAGCTGCTATCAGTGGTTTGGCATCGCTGTTAAACAGGTGCTAAAGACTGACTTTCTGACGACGGCCTTTTCTTCATCTTGAGTCCACGACTCGCCCTCGGGCTGTGGTTGGACGGATCGTAAACGACGTCGTCGGTCTTCTTCCCTTCCTCCATAGTGACGGTAAATCAGTTAATGAAAACCAGAATACCAAAGTGAGATGCTTGAGAGAATCCCAAATTAACGACCCGCGCTGGGTTGTGCCGAAGATATACCCAGGCCAGCTCTTGGCTGAACGCGATCAACGGAAATCATGTCCCTCGCCGCTGTTCCACGGCCCCAGCATGGGCATGGTACAATCCGAACCAGCGATTGCGCAATAAGCTTCCGTGGAAATGATCATGGAGTTGAGCGACGGAGATATGATTGTATTGATCCACATTGGTGAGAGGAGAGGAAGTCGTCGGATTTGACCGTCGGAGGTCAGCGAAGCTGATCGGTTGTGGCACCAACTTCCTCATGTTGAACGCCAAACGATAAATTCACTTACTGTCTTTGGATAATGTTAGAAAAATTGAAAGAAGGAATGATTAAAGCATGTAATCCAAAAAAGGAAGACTTCACTGTGTTTTCACAATTCCAGCGTCGTTAAAGTTCAGGATCAGTATGCCAAGGCCGGTCTTACACGACTGAAATTCAATCCGCCGATCTACCTTTTTATCGAAGGTACATTGAACATGCATCTATAAAATAATAAAAGTGCTAATAAGCACAAAAAGAACATCAAGTAGTTCCACCAAGACTGAGAAAAAAGACCCTTATCACTAGGTAGAGATTAGCCAGCAAGACCAATCGCCCGACCTGCAGGGGCCTAGCGGAGCTGCCGATCTCGGCCCCGGTCCAGGGTCTACCAGACTCTCGGGTCAGAGACTGGGTGAACAAACATGTGGGATTTACTCTCCAGCACACTTCCACTTGTGAATTTAATTGAAAAAAGAGGGCGTTGGTACGAACGATAGAATATCTTAGCGTCTTGAGGTGACGTTCAAGTTGAGTTGCCGACGGAGCGGAGCTATGTCGCCGCCAGTTCGTCGATGACTTCATCAGTGGGGCCGAGATCGCGTGGGGGAGCTCTCAGCCCGCCGTCTGAGCTGTCATCTCAACCACCTTCCAATTTTAGAACCTAGACTCAGTTACATCCATCAAAGGCTGTTCTAGAACTTCTGTCAACATACCTAAACCAGTCCCGCAAATTGTGTACATTATCAGACCAACAGCCACCCCCCATCATTCAGTAATTTCAACCCCGAGGACACCCCGCAGACATCCATCCCTGGTTACACAACATCAAAGGTCACATCATCAACTGCCGCCTACCGCCAAGATGCCGCCTCCGTCAGATCTATCCCATCACATCCTCCCCGAGCCCGTCTCCAAAGAAATCTTCCAGACACAGATCCTCCCCGCCGACCTGCCCGCCACACTAACCCCGCACCCCACCCGAGCCCGGCCCTTGGCGGTGCTCATCGTCGGCCAAACCGGCGCCGGCAAAACCCGCACTGCCCCGGCCGTCCTCTCTGCCATGAACCGTATCATCCCCCCGGCGCACTTCATCGCAGACGTCTACAAGGCCCACCACCCTTCCTACCTGACTCTCATCTCCTCTCCGAACCCCGCGCACGCATCGCCGGCCACCGGCCCAGACGCGCGGAAATGGCTCGCCATGGCCGCGGCAGAGGCCATCTCCCGCAAGCTGGACGTGCTCCTGGAGAGCGCGTGTCGGCACCCAGACGACTTTCGCGACCTGGCGAGGATGTTTGGGGAGGCGGGGTACCGCGTCGAGGTCGTCGTGATGGCTGTCCCCGCGGCGCTGAGTCGGTTGGGGATCCTGCACCGGTTCTATGAGAGACTGCCGGAGGCCGGGAGCGGCAATCTGCCCATCAGGCTCACGCCGGTCAAGATTCATGATGATTCATACGCTGGGCTGATGAGTGTTGCGGAGTGGATTGATGAGGTGGACTACGTTGACCGGGTGCTGGTCGTGAGGCGGGGAAACATGGTTGCCTTCTCTGATGACAAGAATGACACAGGTAAGCTTAGTGGCAAGGTTGCGGAAGCATTAAGGAGGGAGAGGGAAAGACCGCTCACCGTGGAGGAGAGAAAGGTTGCTGTAGCAGACCTGGAGAAGTTAGAAGCCCGAGATGGAAAATTGGCAGTGGAAGTCAAAGGTCTGTTTGAACCGTTACTCAGAGCAGAACAGGGATATTCAAAGCTGCTACCGTTAGAGTTTCCGCCCAGCACAAGGAAGGATGCTCTGCTTACGCTGGGTGAGGTATGAGGGACGTATCCGGGCATAGTTGCGCAGCCGTTTATGTTGGCCAAGCTCAGATACCAAGGCAGTGCTGCGGCTCTCAAGACATGGACCCCAATATACGGACTGAAAGACACACAGGCTTAGAGATGACGATGTCCTAATTTTGCTACCATGTTGTGGGTCTCTCACTTTCACTCGACGAGAAATGAGACTGCAATTTATATGGCATGTCAAAAAGCTAAATGCACCGTTCCTTTGATTGAAAAGTAGTGATATGTCATATGTGCTCATCCTAGGTAAGTAGTATATTCCAACGATTGCCCTTTGCGCCCGATGACGTTGACTTTACGAATCGCTATCGAAATTTTTGATTCAATGCACAAGGGTTGCCATTGAGGCGTGCAGCCGTCGCAACATGCAATTGGTAAAGTTCATGTTGTCCTACCTGGCCCCCATCGGCTTGTGTCGGCAGGTATCCACCAGGTCCGGAAGGCACCACCCACCGTCGCCGGTTGCCCACCCGGAAGGTAGTGGCTTCCGTGGAAGGTTCCTGACTGCCCTGGTGTGCCGGCAGGTTCGACGTTGGTCCAAGCTCCACGCAGCGGGCAGGCCCTGACGTGGAGGGGCACGAATTGGAAGTGGAGCTCGGTGAGGTCACACCAACCTTCCAGAAGCCCCCGCGTAAATCGGCACACGTGACGCAGAAGGGTTGCCTGCCCTACAGAGCTCGACCACTAAAACTTCCCCGACAGACCTGGTCCTCCAGACGAACATCATCACCAACACCTCTCATCTCAAAGGACAAGTAAGTACAGCGCCCCCCACCCCACGGTCATCGGCACGACGGCGGCGCAGAGCTCGCGAAGCTGCCTGCGCTGCTGTCGGCTGCCCGATTGGCCCGGTCGCATTTCGCTGGCGACATCGACTAACCGGTCACCAGCTTCGTGGTCACGATGAGAGCCAAGTGGAGAAAGAAGCGCGTTCGCCGTCTCAAGCGCAAGAGAAGAAAGATGAGGGCTCGCTCGTAAGTTGCACAACACATCGCTGGCGCGAAGCTGCATAGCTAACATACCTTTTTTAGCAAATAAACAACTCGCACCCTCCCCTCGACCATGACCATCTTCTGAGATGACGACACCAAACACCATCACGCGACACGTATAACGGAATTGCACTCGCCAGCTTCTGTCACCAGCGACTCAGTCTGTCTCGTTCGCCGGGACGTCTACATTCACACTACGAATTGGAACTATGGGACTTGGGGTCATGACGATGATCAGGCACGCACTTCTGGCGGCCTTGATGAGGATTTGATGAAGAGTGGACCTGCCAACTGCGGTCGGGATGACTTTACGATGAGGATGCAGTGTTTAGGACAGCTGAAACTACGATGTCACAATGACTTCGAACACAATCAAATCATCAGTGAAACCACAATATGCTCCCTGCCTGCCATGTGTCCTGCCTGCCTCAGTGAGTTCGAGCTCTTCGTGGGCTCTTCGAAATCAGACATTGTGATGAGAATCATTTCACCAGTTGTCGCCAGTTCACAGACCTTCAGCTGCAGCTTTGCGATTGCGAGCCGCCACGGCAGACTCTATACCATGCGATCGACTCATTGAGCGCCGCATCTAGTACACAACAACTATATTACATTCATACAGATGCCATTGACGAAGATGATGCGCAATAGCAATATTCGGCTTCAATTTCTTCTCGCGTGAGCTGCATTTTTCGTCAATTGAGTGCGCAGAGCTGTGACGTTCGCGCAGCTCCAAGTGGGGTTGGAGCATGCGCCGCAGAACGTAGCGTCCAGCTTGTTCCACACCGCCTGCCTGTCAAGGTGGTCGCACGGATAAACGCCGGTTTGCCGACAAGGGACTTTTTTTTTTTTGAGGCGTCCAGAAAATTTCCAGCAGACTCGCAAGCCCACCACTAGACGTCCAACTACCACCGGTCCACACCCGCCAGTACCCAGAGACAGCAGAGACGATGGCGGACGCCAACGGAAGAAAGAGGAAGAGAGACGGCGACGCCGCCGTCAAGGCGAAGAAGCAGGCTACCGGAATGCCGTCAAAATTCACGATCTCTTCGATTTCACAGGCCAAGCTCTGCCCACCTGTCGTTGGTACGTACGATCGTCTCCCTGCGATTATTCACCATTCGCTGACAATTTGCAGCCTCTTCCCCTGGCATTAGGATATCAAAGAACACTCCTTTTACCCCATACGTCAAGTCAGACATTCAATTGTCAGGCAGGCGCAAACAGAAGACCCCCGCAGTGGCGCAGGACCTCGTTCTGCACTCGAATACTCACCAGACGATGGACTACACGGCTAGAGAAGACGGCAACGGCGACTCCGAAAAGTCGTTGAAGCACTACATTGGAGTGTTTGACCCGAAGACGGGCAAGCTGGAAGTGGTGGAGGCCAAGAAGATGGTGGTTCGGGGCACAGCCAGAGCCAAGCAGGCCTCAGATGAGGCAATGACTGCGCCAGCAGACTACCAGGTTCGTCTCTGTCGTCTGTGTATGCTGTGTATACTGTGTATATTGTTACTGACTACAATCAGAGCTTCTACGCGCTCAAGACCGATCTTGGTCAGACCTTCGGTACGAGGAAGGCCAAGAAGGCCATCGAGTCTGTCACACTCAACGCCATCGACCCCAACAAGGGCAAGGCTGGCGCTTCGCCCCGCAAGTCTACAGCCGCGGACAAGGCAACGCTCAAGCAGATCGGCGAGATCACCGCGACTATGGCGTCCAAGGAAGAGCTCCAAGACATCGTCGACCAGGCCAAGCCCGTCCCCCGTCCCAACCTCGAGGCCGACGCCATCCAGGATGTGTACGATCCCGACGAGTTCATCGGGCGCGAGGTCCTCGCCGCTGTCCCCGTCAAGGACTGGATCGAGCCCACCAAGAAGGGCGAGGACGTGCAGGTCTACTCCAGGCACGTGGCTGCGCGCGTCAAGAAGATTGTTGACACTGGAAACGTTACCAAGATCCGCCTTCTGCGCTACTTCTACTTTTTGTTCCTGTTCTATACGATGGCACAACCAGGAAAGCAACGCGGCACGAAGCGTGTCCCTCCCCGCGAAAAGCTCAAGGAGAAGCTCGCGCCGGCTCCTCAGGCTGTTATCGAGCAGATCCGTCGCAAGTTCTCAGATGGCGGCGAGATCCGCAAGTTCCACAGCGATTTGCTTATTGCGCACTGCTGCGCTTTGGCTTGTATCATCGATAACTTCGAGGTCGATACTTCTAAGCTGCGGGAGGATATGCGTCTCGACCAGAAGGATATGAATACCTACTTTTACGAGATTGGTGCCCGCGTAAAGCCTGTCGCTGGCAAGGAGAAGGGCAAGCAACACCATGTTGCGAAATTGGCCCTGCCACTACAGTTCCCCAAGCTCAGATCTCTCGCACCCAAGCGCCGCTAGGAGGGTGTCGCGGGCGATGAAAAAGAGGTTCAGAGGGCACGCAGGGAGATAATTCCTTTGCGCCAGGCCTAAACAGTGGCGAGAACAACTAACGAAGGCGACGGCGGCGGCGGCAGCGGCAGAAGTAGCGGGGACGGACGACAGTAGCCAGGAGAGGCAGAACCGACGAAGACGGACGACGGAAACAGACGACGGGAGCAAACAATAGGGATGAAAAGTGACGGGGCCGGCGGCTGTAGCACCGGCACCGCCAGCGCCACCAACAATAGCCAGGAGGGACGGGGACGAGAAGCGACGGGGACGAGAGACGACGCCCGGGGAAGGAATGTGACGGGGCCGGCGACAATAGCACCGGGGCCGGACGACAGCGAGGACCAGAAGATCTGCCGGACTACCGACAACTTGCATACTCTATCTACATGGCTACCACGGCTTACCTATAGAAAGTGCGCAACCTAAATGCACACGCCAATTGATGACCAAAAGTTTCGTTTCATGAATCGTATATGAATCAGATGGCCCGGTGCAGCAATCACGTCGTTGGCCTGTGAAATATGAATCATTAGTACCTTACCGAGCAGGAGCAGCAGCAATTGACCTGAGCATTGGAGAAACGTTTCCCAATGTGCGCTGCCAGTACTGTGTGACGCTAACACCCCGCAGTGGCCCCCCGTCCTGCCGAGGCATCTCGGTGCAGTCGTGGTCCAGTGTGTGTGGGGTCCGGGGTAACTATCCCCTGGCATAGCTCCTGTGTCTCTCATAAAACCAACCAACCACCTGCGGGAGAGCTGTTGTATCTGTGTTCGTAGCCTATCTATTTCATGCGGTGAGCTTTCGGGTATTTCTATGGCTCCCAGTTCATTACAATATTCCTTTCAAAAGTGAATTGAAGAAGAACCGAAATCAAAGACAACATATTGTAGAAGAAAGACCAACTAGACACCAGCAGATCAGAACACATAATGGCTAGTCCCGAGGATCCCGTCGTCTCGCTCGAGTACCGCGGCCGCGTCGCGCTGCTCACAATCGACAACGACCGCAAGCTCAATGCGATGTCGCAGCCGCAGTACTACGACCTCGCCCAGAAGCTGCGTGAGATCGCCACACACGACGAGGTCTTCATCACCGTCCTGACGGCCAAGGGACGCTACTTTTCAGCGTGAGTTTTGTTATTGTTCTTCGCCCCCACCCCCGGTCGAATTCAGTTTATCTCATCTCAATCCCTCGGTTACTCCAAATAAGCAACTTAACGTAACTAACATCAAAAAGCGGCGCCGACGTCTCCATCGCCCGCGAATCCCCCTCCGGTGCCGCCGCCCACAAGCACTGGCTCCAGGGCTTCGTCGCCTTCAACCTGAACATCACACAGGCCTTCTACACGCACCCCAAGATCCTCGTCGTCGGCCTCAACGGGCCCGTCATCGGGCTCTCCGCCGCGCTCGTCTCCTTCGCCGACTTCATCTACGCCACGCCGTCCACCTTCCTGCTGACGCCCTTCTCGTCGCTCGGCCTCGTCGCCGAGGGCGGCGCCTCGCGCGCTCTCGTCACGCGGCTCGGCCTGCCCAAGGCCAACGAGGCGCTCATCATGAGCAAGCGCATCTCCGCCGAGGAGCTGCTGCACACGGGCTACGTCAACAAGGTGTTCGACTGCGGCAAGGGCGAGGACGCCAAGTTCCGCGACCTGGTGCTGCAGGAGGTTGACGAGAGGCTGGGCGCGCACCTGATCGGGGACAGCCTGACGGGGATCAAGGCGCTCATCAGGCGGCCCGAGATGGAGATTATGGACCGGCAGAATTCGCAGGAGGTGTTTGCGGGCATTGAGAGGTTTATGAAGGGGATCCCGCAGGAGGAATTTAGGAAGATTGCCAGCGGTGAGAAGAGGCACAAGTTGTAGATGAGTCAGAAGATTCTGCTTTGCTGTAGATATGTTACGTCACGACAAAGGGAAAGCTGTATTCTAGATCATGACTTTTTTTTCTCTTTTTCATTCTCTCTAGTGTGTGTATCTCATCGTATATGTGACCGGGTATCTTTACATCATGCGAGCAAGCCGAATAGCAGGTTCGTCTTCTTGTAGTAGTCTTGTGAAGACTTGTTGATGCGCTGTCGAGCTTCGCTGCTGTTCAGGCCTGTCTGATGGTAGACCTTCTCCTCCAAAGCCTCGAGTTCACTCTCCTTGCCCTGCTTGGAAGCGTCGAGGAAACAGCGCAGATATGAGACGTCATAAAGCCACTGGGTGAAGAGATCCCGACGCTGCTGGGCTAGTTCGTCTGCTTTTGGCGACGGCGCAGGTTCGGCATCCTCCGTGGAAGCTTCCTCTTGCTTTTCTTCATCTTTCTTATCTTCCGAAGATTCCTCTTCCTTACTCTCCTCGTTCTTAGTCCGCTCGGGAGTGTCTTCATTTTCTTGCTCCTTTGCCGGGTCTGCGGACGCAGGCTCAGTCTTGTCGCCGTTGGTTTTGACATTCGCATCCTTCAAGTCGTTCGCCGCGATAGCTTCGAGCCACTTTTCACAAAGTTGCTTCCTGAGATGATGCTTCATGACGCGGACGGCCACCGCACTCCAGAGATCCATACCCGCATCGCTCATCTCCTTTGATACATCCTTGAAGAACCGGAATAACGTAGGTGACGGCTGCGTCGGCAGCTCGGGGCTTCCCTCCCATAATGGCCGGCTTACCACGGTCGTTTGTGAAAGACCTTGGTTGACGAAGGTTTCTATCGGCTTGGCGGCGACGGTGACTGACAGCTTCTCGTGAAGAGATGGTACCACAGTCAGCCCGAAGCCCTTGACTGTGTCGAGTTTGGGCAGGCCCTGGCGCACGTCGCGGAGGATGCGGAGGAGGTACATGGCCACTCTGCCGCTGTTCGACGCATCCTCCTTTGTTTTCCACAGGCTCGTGAGCTTTTCGTCGAGTTCCTTGAACGCTTTGGCGAGTGTGGAGTCGAGCTTCTCGTGCAGTATCCGCGGGTCGTCTTTGCTGAGAAGCTGCTGCCGCGCCTCAATCGTCTCCTCGTCCTCAATCTCATCAATGTCGTTGTCCCAGCGCTGCCTTCGAAGCTGCTCCACCACTTCGCCGACTTCATCAATGATACGCCGCCAAGATTGGAAGCCATTGACGGCCTTGGAAACCGAGTCATTGCGGCCATACATTCTTGCGACTAATTCTTGCAAGAAGTGATCCGCTCCGTTGATCAAGTCGATATCAAAGCTCCGCACATTCCAGAGGTCCACGGTCTGATCCGTCACACCGTCCTGCCATGAGTCCAAAGTGGCCGCAACCTCAGACCCGATGATATGCAGCTTGTTGACCTTGACCTCGAGGACGTGCAGCATGTGCCCGTTGATGGCACCGCGTAATTCATCTAGCATCTCGGAAGGATCAAAACCTCTCGCCTTGCCACCTTCGCGGATCCATAGCTGCAGCACGCTAGTACGCAGCTCCGTGATGGCCTTGAATTCCATCATCCGCTCCATCGTCTTCTTCAGCCCTTCGACAAGCACCTCACTGCCTTTCTTCGCCCAGCTAAAGAGCATATCGCGTGCCTGCGGGCCATCCAGGTCGTCGTGGCGGATGAAGGGCGTGAAGAACTGAATCTCCTCTCCGCACCATCGCTCATAGACGTCCAGGCGCAGACCCTCAAGCCTTTTGAGTGATGGGTCCGCCAGCAGAGGACTCTTCTTGAGATCGGACAAGGCGTTTGACAGCTTGAAAGGCACTAGAGCCTGGACATCGAGCAGGGCTTTGGTGTAGAGGTTCAAACTCTTGAGAACGTCGCCTGCGCCTCGCTGCCGCTCATTGTCCTCGACCTCGAAGGCCATGGCCATGGCAGCTCCTCTGACGCGGAGGAAGTGATTGACCACATCGCGGGCACCGGAGCTGGTAGCCAGGCTGTACGCACACAACGCCTTCAAGACATCCTCCTGCTTCACAGACTCTCCAGTCTTCTCCATCAACCCCTCAATATTCCGCAGGAGCCGTTTCCTCAGCCCGACCAGACTCTTTTTCGCAGCCTCAACGTCGTGACTGACGTCGCCTTCCAAAACCTTCTCCTCTCCCAAGCTTTTCACCAAAAGTCGGCTCAGCACCAGAACCTTGCTCGCCAACACGACCCTGTCCCCTCTGCTCAGCTCCAGGCTCCCGGCCCCAGACCCCTTGAGCACGCGACCCACGACGAGCCCGCAAGCCTCGAGGAGTTTCGCCCTCGCAACGACGCCCACGTCCCCGCCGTATAGCTCCTTTATGCTCCCTTCGAAATTGCTCAGCCCAGCGACCTTTGATCCGACGACGCCGCGCCCGCAGCGCCCGCCCATGCGGCCCAGCACGCCCTGCACGGCGTCGTTGTCCTTCCGCATCTGGACAATGGTGTCGGCTGTCCCGAGGAGATCGCGGTAGGAGCTACCGACCTGCGTGCGCAGGCGGCTCGCTTTTTCGTCTATTTCGACATGGAGGGATTTGTGTATCGCGCGGATCTGGGGGAGGGTGTAGTTGGAGGAGAAGATCTGGGTGGAGGACGTGAGTGTTGAGAGGTCGGCGGTCGCCATGTTGGGCGTGGTGATTGGCAATTATCGACGTCGTCAGGGGTATTCGTCAATTCGATTCGTATGCGATTTAGCTTCCGGAGCCGTAGACTCCTTTGCGCAGGCGTCGCGCTTGCCTCGTGGTTGGTTTCACGCACGTAGAGTCGCTGATTTTGGGAAGTTGAAGCTCTTCTGGCCAGATGGAAATTGGTGGGGCCAGCTGTCTTGGAGCTCGGGGGTACCTCGTACGCTGTGCACATCCCACTTACGGCAATCTCACTCGGCCCCGGATGAATCAAACACACACTTGCTGCAATTGACACATGAAAACTTTTGATTATGCCTCCCAAGTCTTGAAAACTTCGTGTTAACTCCAATTCTACTTTCCGACCCAAAAAGCCTACAATTTCCTTGCCCTGACAATGCCCGTTGTGATACCGGACAGTTCTCCGCCATAACCGCCCTTGGGCTCGCCTCCC